ACTGCTCATCTTATTTTGAGTGAAATAAAGAGTAATTAATCCTTCCTGAGTTTACGTTTCCTGTTCTTTGAACTAAGCGATAATTTACTTAACAGTTCACTAGGTTCGCCGACATTTAATTCAGCAGAATAAAAGAGAGGAACTCTACAACGTCATAAGAGACACTGTATTTTAGATACCCCAAAGCACAGTCACATGGATTTAGCCGCAGTAAATGAGATGAGCATGCTGAACGAAGGTGACAACCGGTAACCCTGCAGCGGTTAAGTGTTAACAAAGTATTTGTTTAAACAGATGTTACATATGCAGAAGGGCACCATCCTGCCTGATAATCACTCCGTACAGGTACCAACGATGCTGAAATCACGCAGATCATACATAGACATAAAACAAACTGTAGTATCAGCCCTGGGATTCTTATTACCTTCTTCCATTCCTTCGAGATCAATCACATTTGCAGTAAGAATTTATTCCCGATGATATCATTCGCTGAGCAAAAAATCAGTGAAAAGTCTCGAAATAATAAGTAATCATCACATTTTGAAGGGCTATAAAAATATTAACAGTTCTCTGCTTCCAACGTTTCAAATTTTACTGAATAACTGTTTTTACTGAATCATTTGCGCTTTGAAGGTTGAGCTTCGTGATTTCCAGCGAGATTTTCAGCTCTTTTTCATTTATCTGCTATGAATGATCTTTTACTTAATGTTTTTTAATATATTGGTGAAGTCAGAACAAAACTTTTTAGATATAATCGAAAGTTACATTTATGAATAATTTTAACTATTTCACTCTATTACTTCTTAAATCTTTTGCTTTTACCAAAGTCATCTTTCAACATCTATATTGCTTAATTTTTTTGGAATTCCCTGTTGTGGTTAAAAGACGTGTATTTAAAGAAATTGGTTGAATTTAAATATTCAAGCAGTTAGCTCTAGCATCCCTCCGGCGAAAGGAAGACCAACAGAAATATAATGTGATTCGAGAAAGCTATCACAAACAATAACTTACAATGAGGCAGGGAATCTCAGCTTTATCGGGCGGATTTATTCCGTCTTGCCCAAGTTTTGCAATTATTCGCAATAGACATTTATCAAAATATCCTATCACCATTCGCTTTTCACTTGAATACAAGCAAGGGGATGGAAATTTAAAATCATAGCGATTGTCGTTAAAATTATATCATTGCATTAAAGACAATGCGAAAAATATGACGTCACATCGTTTCAATCTAGCTTGCACTAGAAATTCGCCAAAAGGCAGTAAAATCTATTTGGGAGTATTTTGTAATTGTCTTTTTTATCATCAAAAATTAGATTATAATTTTATTTCTGAAGATGAAATGATAAAAAATGTCATTTCCCAGAGTTAATTTTTGCCTTTATCTCAGATTGTATAAATGTTTTGTTTAACATTTTAAATAGTTTCAGTTAATTTTAAGGAACTTCAAATAGTCAGAATCAAAGTAATAAGTAACCTTATTACATTGAATAATACTTATTACTTTGAATAAAAATCAAACTAATTAAGCGTAGACAAAAGGCGTAAAACCATTAAAATATAAGTCAGATTGATTCACTAGCAGCCGAGCCTAAAACCTACTGAACAGTAATGAACTAGTAGTGGCTGCATGGGCGTTTTCCTGGTTTTTCCCTATGTGTAGCATAACTACGATCCCCTTAAAACATGCTCCACGGAGCATCCCTTCCTTTCCCTCCAGTGCCAAATAGCGAAAGATTTAAAAGTAAATAAATAAAATATGTCAGATTTATAGTGCTTCGTAAAAAAAAAAAAAAAAAAAAAAAAAAACAGTTTATTTTCTTGTACGAAGTAAAAAGGAAGTATTGTAATCACGAAAAATTCGGGTATCGTATTTCAACGAAAATATCCATTTTCACCGCTGTCGAATGCATTTGAATGATGTTTGTGAGTGACATCTCCATGTATGGATAGAATAAAGGCCTCTTTCTCCCAAAATGGATTTTAAAAGGCTTCGGAGTAGTTTTTTTTTTTTTTTTTTTTTTTTTTTTTTTCATGACATCTGTACATAAGTACGTATGTGTGTACCTCTCATACCTAAGAAACGAGTAGCCTCAGAACGTTGAAATTTTGTATATGGCACTGCTATAACATGTAGTTGTGTATCTGCCTTTTTGGTTCCAGTCGGCCACACTAAAAATATATAAATATGTATAGACCCGCTGTCTTACATGGCTTAGCAAGCTCAGTTTTTTTTTTATTCTTTTATATTGGTAAATTGTGCAGTTTTTGCTTTAAAAGAGATTGAATTATTTGTTCTTATGTTCCGGTTAAAGTTTTTATGCCTTTAAGTTGAACTACATGCAATAGTTGTAGAATTAACAGCAGTTTAAAAGTTGTTTAAGTGCTAGCAAGCCTAATAAAGTAGCCATTTGTTTACATTTGAAACTCTTAGTGGAATAGTCAGTCTATTTCTGCACTTTCAGTGTCTTTTTGCCGATTGGGGCCTTAAAGGAAATATTCAGTTCTATGCACCGAAATGCTGGGCTTCTAGCTCACTGGACGAATTGCTTGCTTTTGCATAGATACTCTAATTTTAATTGTAAAAACTGCGTTTTTAACTGTTTTAAATATGTTTGGCGTTTTATGTTTTCCTGCATTTTACAATTTTTAATGAAGATGTTTTTCATTTTTATGTATTTTTGCCTTGCAGCGAAGTGAGGACTGAATTAATAGAATGAGAAATTTATCTCCAATGAAATTCGGGGTAATAAATTTAAATAAAATGCAGCAAAAAATGTGTATAATTTAATAGGCCGTACAAGGAAGGCATGTAGTGTCCACGTCAGATCGTTGCTTTTTCACAATGCGAAAAACGTGCATACATTTATGCAGATTCTTTATTATTTAATTTCTTTAAACACGATACAGAGCGATAATACTTGGTGGCAACAATTTGAAAAGATAGTGATTTGACGCAAAATACCGTTTCAAGCCATTCTGGGGTAATAAATTATATCTGTATATATTTCAGATGTAACGACACTGTGCTAAATATTATATCCAAATAAGTTATCTTTGAGTTTTGCCTTAATGCGTTTTAACACAAAAAATACTAAAAAGCTGGCACAGATAAGTGAACATTAAAATTACTAAATGTTAAAAAAGCAGAGAAATAATTCACAGCAGGATGGGGACTTCGATAAAATTTAAAATCTGAGAAAATAAATTTATCTTGATTCAAAATTTACGCATTCCTTTCCTTCGTTTTTTTAAGTCCCATAGATGCTTCCTTTGAAATATTTTTGTTTCCTCTTCCTAAATATTCGAACATCACTTTTTACTTAAAATTAGAATTTATGTTACCACTAAAATTACACTATAATTTAAGCTTTAAGCAATAAATAGCTACCACTTTTAGAAACAGATAGAGTCGGTTTGATTTAAAAAGGGAAACTGCAATTTAAGCTGTTCGGAAGGAAACGGAAAAAAAAAATAAATTTTGTCAACATTTTTTAAGTTGGAACCACAAATTTGTGCGAGCACTAGAAAATAAGCGAAGAAGAGTAAATATTTCATTTTTCTCAAAGGAAAAATGACAATATCGCCTCAATTATTATTGCCTCAATGCTTTTTTGGTTGAATCTGAGGAAATAAAATAATCAAAAGGAAACTATACTCGCAAAGAAATGTTACAAAGAAACTTACTAACTAGGAAGTTAGAGCAACAGGTTGGAAAATGTAATTCAATTTAACTTCAGATGTGAAAGAAGACGGAAGAAAGATGCTTCTATATTGTATTAATTTACTTCAATAAATGAAGCGGCCGCAAAGTTATTATTTTTTTAAAAATATCAATATTTTTTTAACCATTTTGATAAAATAAGCTCTATTAAATTTGTTTTCTTTACTATATGCTTCGTTTTAGACTCTTGAGGAAACAAAAAATACTATCGTTTCTTTGCAGGATTTTAAGTTTGTGTTGATGTTCCAATTATATTAAGTTTAAAATTCTACGCTTATATTCTGTATTAAATAACAAACTCGGTTTCTTGTTTCAGTCCTCAGAATTACACTAGCAATTCAAGAAAAGAAAATTTAGTTTTAAGTAAAAGAACACTTGTTTTGTTGTGTAATTTTTACTTATAAAATTTAATTTAAAAGGATCTAATTTTGCATTTTGTTAATTTAATTATGCAACCTTTTTTCCAGACTCCAGACTATTGACAGATGAATGAGAAAAAAACACTCACTACTTATTGTTTACGCAACAAATGGCTATACTTATATAATTAATTATCATCGTATCGTATCGTCATAATTATTGTATCGATTAATTAATTAAAGCCGTTTGCCTGCCACATAAAATTTGAATACATTAAATAAGCATTCCTTTCTATAGAATTTATTAAATTCCTACTATTAGCTCCCACTCTCCTATATCCAACCGTTAATAAAATACTGTTTATTCATCCATTGAAGTTCAAATACATTTTTTAAACTTGTAGTGGATGACATTTGTAATAACAGTTTTTCACATAATAAAGTCAATTCCTACTTATTTATTCCTGTTTATCGGAACTAAAGATATATTGCTTTTTACTTCCTTGTAAGAAGTACTAAAAAGGAAGTACAGTGGTGCCTCGCATAAAGAACGCCTCGCACAGCGAACGCTGCACACAACGAACTTCCTTTCATGGTTCATACAATGAACTTCGTTTCACACAACGAAGTCGCCCGAGCTTCCAAGACCGCTTTGCCCGAGCTTCCACGACTGCTTCGTCCGAGCTTCCACGACTGCTTCGCCCGAGCTTCCACGATCGCTGCCGATGTATTGCATCCTTCCGCGCAGGCACTGCAGGCAGTCGTTAGTCACTGCGCTTAAACTTAAGCACGTATCGCGGTAATACCTCCTTTTAAGTTAAACTCAATATCGTCCTTTTAAGTTAAACTCAATATCGTCCTTTTAAGTTAAACTCAATATCGTCCTTTTAAGTTAAAATCAATATTTTTTTTATATCATGGCTTCTAAAAAAAGCAGGAAGGTGATTTCTGTTGAAATGAAACAGGAAATAATTAGAAGGAGTGAATGTGGGGTAAAACAGTGTGACCTCGTCAAAGAGTTTGGCCTCAGCAAGACCACCATTTTCACCATTTTGACAAATAAGGATGCAATCAAATCAGCCAAAGGAGTATCAAAACTAGTTCATGAAAAACATAGGTCTTCAATCCACGAGGAAATGGAGAGGCTATTAGCGATTTGGATTAAGGACAGGCAGGTGAAAGGTGACGTAACAACCCAAGATATTATCTGTCAGAAAGCCAAGAGAATTTATGACGATCTAAAGAAAAACGTCCCTGGAAGTAGCAGCAATCAAGATAATGAAGAAGGATTCAAAGCCAGCAGGGGGTGGTTTTTTTAGATTTAAGAAAGGTGTGGAATCCACAGCGTTACTATGCATGGTGAGGCTGGCAGTGCTGACAAGAAAGAAGCAGAAAAGTTCTCTATTAACTTTCAAAAATGTATTAATGAAGGATACTGCCCACAAACAAGTGTTCAATGCCGACGAACGAACGGGGTCTTTTCTGGAAAAGAATGCCGAGCAGACAGAACCTTCATTACAAAAGAGGAGAAGAAATTGCCAGGACACAAAGCCATGAAGGACAGACTTACCCTTATGTTTTCGTCTAATGCCAGCGGAGACCTCAAAATCAAACCTCTATTGGTTTACCACTCTGAAAATCCAAGAATTTTCAAGAAAAATAACGTTATTAAGTCCAAACTGCCCTTCCATTGGAAGTCCAATCAAAAAGCCTGGGTGACCAAGTTATCTTCAACGAATGGATTCTGGAAACCTTTGCTCCTGCCGTGAAGAAATTCTTGCTGGAAAAAGAACTGCCGCTCAAAGCCCTTCTGATACTTGACAATTCCCCTTCTCACTCAAAAGACCTAGAGTAAATATTGCAGGAAAATTATCCTTTTATCAAGGTGCAGTATTTGCCACCAAACACCACATCCATTCTTCAGCCAATGGATCAGCAAGTTATTGTGAACTTTAAAAAACTCTACTCTAGAGCGCTCTTTAATAAGGTGTTTGATGAATGCGAGTTTGGTGGAGACTGTCCGAAAGTTTTTGAAGGAGAAATTTGATGTCCTTATGGCAATACTACTTATACAGAAGGCCTGGGAAGAAGTGTCACAAAGGACCCTCATTTTCTGCTTGGAAGATGCTTGTGCCTTCGTGGACCCAGGAAGAAGCAGTAATTGATGACACAGAAGTAGTGAAGGACATCATCACAGTGGCCCAAAGGTTGTAATTAGAGGCAGAGGAAGAGGATGTAGAGGAGCTTATTGAGGAACACGAAGAAGAGCTGACAACTGACGAGCTCCAAGCACTTCTGGTCCAGCAAACAGGACAATGCTCAAAGGGAAGCGTCATCTGATAACAAGGAGCAACAATCAAACAATCAACCAATCCCAACTGCTGACATCAAAAACATCCTGGTCAAATGGAAAGCAGTTCAGGAGTTTACCAATGCCCACTATCCGGATTCAGCTGAAGCAAACAGGATCAACGATCTTTACTCCGATACTCTTGTCCGTTATTTCCGGCAGATGTTGGAGAAAAGAGAAAAACAAACGACTTTGGCCAGGTTTTTCATGAAACCATCGGCCAAAAAAGCAGAAAATGGATGAAGATGTGCAAGATTCGGTAGACTCTACTTAGTCTGTCTTAAAATTAAAAAAAAATGTGTGTTTTTTTAACAATTATGTTTTTAGATGTATCTAAATAAAAATAATAACAAAAAATTTATTTTTTTTATGTCATCTTAGCATATTTTATGCTACAGAACGAATTATTTTTTTAACATGTATTATTATGGGAAAACGCATTTCACATAACGAGCTTTTCGCATAACAAACTCGCTCCTGGAACGAATTAAGTTCGTTGTGTGAGGCAACACTGTATTGTAATCGCGAAAAATTTCAGGCAGCGTATTTAAACGAAAATATGAATTTTGACCGCTTTCGAATGATTTTCAATTTAACGATGTTTTTGCATGATATCTGTACGTAAAGACAGAATAAAAGACTTTTCCTCCAAAACAATTATAAAACTGCTTTAAAATGAATTCTGAAGAGAATTTTTCGTGGCGTCTGTGCGAACGTATGTACGTACGAACGTACGAATCTCGCATAACTCAAAAACGAGTAGACTCACAACATTGAAATTTTGTGTATAGGACTACTATAACATGTAGATGTGCACCTCGTATTTTGGTTGCTATCGGCCGCGCTGAACGTATATAAATATATTTATATATATCCACTCTGTTACCCGGCTCAGTGATCTCACTTTCTTTACACTTATATGTTTGTAAATTATACATTTTTCGCTTTAAAAATGATTGAATTATGTTGTTCTTATCTTCCGGTTAAGGTTTTTATGCCTTTAGTAAATCTGTATGCAATATTTTTAGAATTATCAACAATTTTAAAGTTGTTTAAGTGCCTTAAGCCTAATAATTTTTTTCATGGCCGCCATTGCTTGTTTACATTTGAAACAGCAGAGTAGTGGATTTGTTGCCAATCTAGAGAAACGTAGCTTCGCAACAACAAAGATAACGCCTTCATTTATTATTGCGAATTAAATCATGCTTAATCCTTTCTGGAATTTTTTCGCGGAAATAAGTGTTTAAGATTTACTTCGTAATTTTTAATACAGATATTTTGAGTTTTTATGTATTTTTGCCTTGTCGCGAAGTAAGAACTGAATTAATTGAATGAGAAATACTCAATCGTCTGTGAAAAACTGTTTCTATTTTGTTTTGTTTGTTTAATTTCTTTTATACATCATTCTAGTTTATTATAGTATTTGAATAGCATGTGGCAACGATTAGATAATTCTGTTCTTTAAATGATATAAATTTTCCTAACGGACTGGAGGAAACGGCGTTCGCCGAAGTCCTCACCTCCTTTCTTCTTGGTCAAAGCAAGATTGCTACAGAATATAAATTTTGTGCATTATGAGTTCTAATATGAAGGAAATATAATACTGTTAAGTGAATCTAGAGCCAGAGTGTCGCTATGGTAAACAAATACTAGAGTGAATTTTAAAGAATGCATTTATTCTGTTGTGGATTACGCGCTGTCGGCGAAGCAGATTTAATTCAATCCAATAAGTTTAAATGAAATGCAAGAAAAAATGCGTATAATTTAATATTCCGTACAAGGAAGTCATGTGTTGTACACATCAGATTTTTTTTAATATATTATAAGACTTACAAATAATGACCGTTTATATGGATTCTCATGTGCTGTAAAAATTAATTTTATAACAACTTATAAATAATAGTACATGACTGTGATAAATGGGACTGTAATATTTAACAAAAATTAATGGCAATATTAAGACAGAGTTCTTAAGATTTTTATAGTGTATGGAATTAAAGAATTGTAGTTGGATGAAGCGGATGAAATGTCCCATTAATATAGCGAAAATTCTCCCCATATTTCTATGTTAACGTGATAATAATATACAGTAAGACCCCGCTTAACGCGGGGGATACGTTCCATCGAAGTAGAGCGTAATGCGAAACAGCGCTAAGCGAGGCTATCTTAACATGTAAATAATGGGGTTAGGAGAAGACGGATAAAAAATGGTTAGGCATTAAATTTAATAATGTTTTTTTAATAAAAATAAAATCAAACATTTATTTCTTACAAAAATAAAAACAATATAAACGCATATACTTTTAAAAACAAATAAAATTCTCATGTCAGATCATTCAGTTCTATTCTGGGTTTCCAATTTTCTGCCTTTTTGTCAAGAAGGCATTATGATAGATTGGCTTAATGGCATATTGCGTTCAATTTCGTCGTCAATCCATATAGACAGTCGTTTTTCCATTTCCTCTATAATGTTATTTCTAGAACGGGTAATTCTAGTTGCAGAGCTTGACGTAGTTGCAGTTGCCGATGACAGTATTTTTTCTTTATTATTAAGAATTGTCCCTATTGTTGAAGCTGCCAAAATCAATGCAGCACTAATTTGAGATTGACGTTCACCAGAATCTAATCTTCTAATCACTTGCATTTGAGTTTCCAGTGAAATGCTTTTTCTGGTTGCTTTCTTTTCTTGTTTTTTATTATCACCCATGATAAAAACTAAAGATCATAATATTTGTCACTGTATTAATCGTTATAGTATTATACAAATTTAAACTTACAATAATGTCAACAAATGTTTCAAATGATAAAAATGCGTCCACCAAGCAAGAAACACAACTACACTGTTTCGGATATGTTATTTGGAAACCTCGCGCTGCGCACAATTTCGGAGAATCCCCGGGGAAATAAAAGAGCGCTAAACCGAAACAGCGCTGAACGAAACAGCGTTAAGCGGGGTCTTACTGTATGTTTAAAATATAACCCTTTAAAAATGTCCTTTGCTTCGCAAACGGAGATTGCAGAAAGAAAGCGAAATGAAGCTGCAACACAACACAAGCGACGATTACAGAAAGAAAAACATAAGCGCCAAGAAAAGCTTGCAGATGGAAACAAAAGAAAAAAGGCGCCAACGCTTAGATAAACGAAATTTCAAAGATCACGGGATGCGTCTCAAAAGCAGCGTGAAACTCGATTATTAGCTGATCGTCAACGACAAGCAATCAATAAAACTATCAAGAAAATATGAAACTAAGAAAAACACAAATCATTACAAGATCTACGCCGTAAACGCAAGACAATGAAATGAAACTCAAGAACAATTCGAAGCTCGCCAAGAAAGACAACTTACTTAGCATTCGCAAGCACTGAGAAGAGTAAATGCACAAATCGCTGCATTCGAAAGAACCATCAACACATTCTGTAACAGAACTTGCGAAATCTGTATGAAACGATGCTATCCCAATCAAGTCGCAAAATGCTATTTGACAGAAATGAAGGTGTATTTACCGGATGAATTAAGAAACAAACCAATGCTTCTATTATGTAATCGCTGTAAATATCACATCAACAGCAATAAGGATCATTCGCCGCCGAAGACATATTGGAACAATTTGGACCCTGGCCAAATACCCCTGGTACCAAGAGAGCATTCCTATACCAAGACATTCCATCAGTCACTGTGAACTCTGGCAATAATGGTGGTCACGAGGAATCGAGCCAATATCAGTGCAATTTCCCGCCAAACGCAGCTACGGTACTGCTGAACGAAAAATGCTACCATTAATACTATCATGGGCAACAACGGTACATAAAATGCAAGGTAGCATTGTAGATTATGCAGTAATACGTATATCTAGGACGAAACCTCTTCGCAGCAGATCAAGCATATGTCACCTGAGTCGTGTGAAATCATCAGATAGAATATTAATTGAAGAACTGGACTGCTCGAAACTCACTGGAAAGATTCCTTGC